GGCTAACCTGACGTGCAGTGCAGCTGTGATCTCAAGTTGTTGAATGGCAACAGGAAAGCAAAACTAATGTGTTTTAGGGGAAGGAAAGAGAAAATGCAGGTATTTTCACAATTTGCTGCCAAATATTTTGTAGTCCTGTACCCAAGCTGTACAAATACAGCTCCAACGCTTTCACCTTCACTCCTGATAAATACATCCTTTTTCAGTTGTACAGCTGAGGCTGTCTGATGAGGATGACGAGATGAAACATGGTGACACTAGTTAACTGGAGATGCTGTCACTGTGCAGGCAGCAGAGTGAGGTGCTCGGCTGGAGGCACCCGTAGCCCGGCCCCAGTCCAGTATTTGCTTTAGAGCAAAAAATATTTCATAGCATCTTTAGTGAATTTCTCAAGACCTAAATGAGTGAGTGTAGCACAGGTAGGTAAGACAACTCTTTTCTGAGCTTTCTCTTTTCTTTGGCCTAGAGTAAAGTAGGGGTGATTATTTTTATTTTCATTTTTAAAGTTGCCTTTCTTTGGTTTTAGCAGAAAATAGAACCTACTACCCAACTGCCCTTAAGAATGTAAAATCCTTAGTATGTATAATCTGCTGATTATACATTAACGACTTATATTTTAACCTTTAAACTTCTTCAGCCTTGATTATTTTTCTTCCTATCTATTCAGGTTAGCTGCAGGTTTGAGGAAACACCTGTGGTGATGGGGTCAGGAGGAGTTTAGAGGGGAGTAACCAATGTATAGAAAAGGAATGGTATATTTGAGGCTCATTGCAGAAAGGATATCACTGATGATAAGGAAAAGATAAGAATGAGAGGCATCTCTGAATTTTTCTTGAGAAGCAGAACTTGACTTGGCAAATTATAATTTATTATAAGATCCTAAAAATATTATTTCAGAAACTGTGTTATGCATTCATCCCTTTCATGTTGGCTTTTTTTTTCTTTATCATGAAAATCTTTACCAAAAAGGCCTGTAGGATTTCAGCTGTGAATGGTCTTTGGTGTTTTTCTGTGCAGAGTTTCCTTCTCAGGAACTCTGTCTTCCCAAGTTTTCCACTACAAGGAGAAAACTCCTTCCCTTCAAACTACCTGTTTTGCTTGGATCAGATAAACCTAGAAACTGTTGCAATATCCAGGTTGGTAATTGCTCAGGGAAATGAGTCCTCCAGGGAGTTTGCCTCTAGGCTCAACAAATCGCTATTGCCAACAGTGGTAGCAGATTCAAAATTATAAACTCCTTGAGGAGTAGGTTGCAATCCATGATAAACACTGCAGACGAGGAAAAGGTAAATGATTAGTGCTGCCTAACTGGGATGCTTCAGCCCTTTCTTTTCCAGTGCAAAAGGAGCAACTAGAGGAACACAGTAAGAGATAACTTGTGTATCTATGCTAACTCTTTGTTTTATTTATTTCCATGGATTTGCTTTACAGGGGTTAATTTCACGTTTTATTGCAGGTGATGTTAGAATACATAGTGATTTCATCTGTGTAATCATAACCTGTAAATGGTCGGACAGATTTCCATTCTAGGAGTGATTCTCTTAATGACAGTTTATGTTGTTTGTCTAAAGTCCAGGTATTGTTGCATTTGTAGTTCATCCATCATCAGTTTTCTATCCTAATCTCTTACCTTGATGGACTGTAGTCAACTCAGTATCTAGGCATGCCATCAGAATGGCACAATAACTTTAAAATATTAAAATTTTAATGACGTTTTAGAAATTTTTACTGATAGGAATAGTTAGGACTTTATTTTTTCTTTCCCTTCTCTATCTTTCTTCTCTTTTTTTCTTACACTTTTTCTTTTTCTGACAAACTTTTCTCAACAAAAATTGTCTTATGAATTTACAGAAAGGCAATTTTGTACCAGACCCTCAGGTCAGACTTAAATTTCAGTCACCTTCGGGAGGGCACATGCCAGAGTTGAGAATATAATGCCCCCAAGTGCTGCCTTCATCCCAGATCTTGATTGACAGTGTTGATGTGGGTTATTGTATGATAACATTCATGTAATTGAGGACACCCATTGCCTTTTAGTGCTGAGTAGGTATAAATTAGCCTGGATCTTGTCAGAAGGGATTTGGGAAAAGAGTATAATCTTGCTCTCTTCCTATCATTTTCCAGAAGCATCCAGAGCTGGCCACGGGATACTGAACTTGATGTGTCTCCAGTCTGGTCCACTCCTGCTTTATGCTTTTATGAATCCAGGATAAACAAGGGGGTAATAGAGAGCACAGAGCATTTGCTGGTCAGTCTAAAGCAGGTGCTCTCTCAGGGTCCCATCGAGCATTTTTATACATTATCTTTCACTGATTCAGTTACAAATCCCATTCCTAAAGTGGCAGATTCTGGACTGCTAACTTTCCTCTTGTTAGGAAGAGGTAAATGCACTCTCTTGTGCTGCCTGATGTAGAAAAAGGTGACCTGTGTTACTCTTCCTTAATTTTTACTATAATTGCCAAGGAGATCAGCTTTACACTAACAACAGCAATTGAGAATCAGATTCCTTCAATGGACAGCAAGGCAAGGTTCTTGTAAAAAATGTGAGCTTTTTCTTCCTCAGACACTTCTTAGGTGTTGTTTTGATGAATAATCACAAAAAATCTTTGTTGCTGCACAAGAAGAACCCTGAGATGAGGCTTAAGGACAAATTTCTTCCCACCCACTTAGGAGGTTTCCTAACAGGGTCCTGAAATGTCCAGCTGCAAGGCCAGGTGAGCTTTCTAAGCAGGCTGTTTCTAGACCAACAGAGTGAGTGCTGTCATCTTCAGGCTTTCCCCAGAACCACTAAGGACAATATAGATATAGCTGTTAGAGAGACATACGCACTGTGCAGCTTTTTATGACTATTTGTTATGGGACACCAGGGACCAAATTCAGACCTGGTAGAAGGCAGTGTGACTCTCATGAAGGTAATGGAGTTTCACCACGTTTTATTGTCCCTGGATATGATGGACCACTGTCCCAACGTACTAAATCTATAAGAATTTATTACCTCCTTATAGGTAATATATAGGCTCTTTAAGACCTTCTATTTCATCTGAAGCTGGATATTTTCCTGGCTGCTTCATTTCTCTGTCTTTCTCAGAGAGCTCTTAACACACTATTTAACACTTAATGTGATCTGATCCCTGGCTCAAGTATGTTTAAGTGAATGTATTTTGATTTTATGCCTGCTATTTTTTCTCAGTAACAACAGTTAACATTATCCCCATAACTCAGGGTCACTGACTTAGACAAGTGGTTTCAAGCTCTTTATACCACCCTGATGGATCTCTCGGGATCCTCGCGACAGCCTTCCTCTTTCAACAACTCCCTTTCTTTCTCATTTACCTGGGATCCTCAGACCAGGCTGTCAACTTTCAGTGTAGTGATGGCTTCAGAGCTCCAAACCAATTCTCGTCTGCTGTATCGCTCAGGCGTGCCGTGGCCAGCGCGAGCCAGTCTGAGGAACAGCATAAATCACGCTCAGATCCATTAGATCTCCCTGTCTCCCCCCTCAAGACATTTCTCCGTTTCAGTGACAAAGCTGGAGCAGTTTTGTAGCCACTCAAGATGCCCGTCTAGTTCAAGAAGAAGGAAAGAGAAGAAGATTTTGCATTTTGAAAATGCCAGGGTAGAAACAGTAATTCAAATTGAAGAATCCTATAATACTTCCAGCTGAATCAGAGCTCAACTGTGTGGTAAGAGCAGATCTCAGCTGGTGCATCAAGACCTGACAATCCCATTAGTGTAAAAAATGAGAAAAAGTGGGAAAAAATGAAAAACCCTCAGTACTGATGGAAAAATCAAATTGACAGTGGGAAAGGAATGCAAATATTTTATGGTTTTACATAATAACTTAAAAAAACTTACTTATAAATGAAGAACAACAGTCAAAATGTGTGATGTTGTTTTTCTTTGAAAAAAAAGTTTTCTGTCTTTCTAGACCATAACCATATTCCCAATGTGATGTCTGACCCATGGATATTTAATTCTCTTTATGCAGCTCTGTTTAGGAAGGAAGAATGCTTGCTTGGATCCTCAAAACAGCAAGCTGGTCTATGGCTTTAAGTAGAAAGCTTAAAATAAAAAATCTTTTTCAGCTCAAGTCAACTGGCTCAGTCAGAACTTACTAATCTCCTAAGACAGAAGTTGCCAGAAACATTGGAAGCCTTCTGGGACCATCTGACATACTTCTCTCCCCTCCCTTCTCCACCACATATTGTATGCAAAGGGGATATAGAAGTGAAGAAAGGGACCCGAAAGTACCATATGGAACTATTGGCCACCAGGCGTCACGTGAAGACCCCATACCTGGGACCCCATAATCTAGGAAGATTTGAACCTAAATGATTTCCTGGGTAAAATTCCACTGACTTCACAGGAAGGATTTGAACTTGAGGAAAAAATTAAATTTCACTATGATTCTGACACAGAGCAAGAAAATGTTTCAGTGATATAGTTGGTCTCTGCTGAGAATTAATAACCTTCTCTGACTCACATGAGGAAGTGTTAGAAAATTCAAGCATGTGGAACGTATCCAGAATGTTTCTTTTTTGATCTCAGAAACCGCTAATCAAAATTAAAGTTGTATAATTTCACTATGTCTGACTCATTCCTCACCTGCAGGGAGAAATGCTAAGATAATATTCAAAGCAAATCTTCATTGTGTAAATCCAACATCTCATTCTTTAAAGGTGAATTGATATTTAATGCTTGGCTTTCATTTTAAATGTAGTAATTGTGTTATCTTGAACACTGTGACTTGTCCAAGGAATTTAGCCAAAAACCTCTTGAACCTATTTTGAATGTAGTTGAGGAAAGGTGGTACTCTGCTAACAAGCAGCATATAAGATGCTTAAATTTTCCTTTGGACTTATTCTTTATTGCGATGCAAGTAGATTGCACAGATTATCGTTCTGGGAAAAAAACAGTTAGCGAGGAGTCCCGGAGATCAGTCATCTTGAGAACTGAACATGTTGAGCAAGGAGTTCATTTGAACTGATTTTGTTTTTCAGACACTGCAAATGGATGTAAACAAGCTGAATATCACATTGCTTCGGATATTTCGCCAAGGAGTGGCAGCAGCACTGGGACTGTTACCTCAGCAAGTTCATATCAACAGACTCATTGTAAGTACCAAAGGGCTGTGTATAATAAAATGTACGTGGTTATTTTGAATTCTCTTGAATTTATTTTCCTGTCACTACAGAAAAGTACAATAATATAGGACAGAATATACTTTTTTCCAAATTTTTTTAACTGCACTACAGAAAAATAGATCTCCATTACAAAATGATTTAAATTTTCTTTTGAAAGGAAACCATTGTAAGTTACAGTCTAGAGAAAAATTGTCAGATAAATTTCTTTTTTGTCCTATTCATAAGCAGATTGCTTATCACTTAGTTTTCATTCCAATGCAGTTCTCCTTCACATTCATTAAGAAACATTCATGTTTTTTTTCTCAAAGGTTGAATATTTCTCAAAAAATACATGTGATTCTGCCTTTCAAAGGCATCTTTGCAATTTATCCTCAGACTTTACATTAGTAAATTAAATGTGTTCTCGCAATATTATTATTCATGTTTTGCTAGTCAGCTATAACAATTTCTGCTCAGAAATGATCTTGTAGACTACGGTATCATATTTGCAAAAGATGACGACAAATTTGCTTCTAGCAACAAATACTTTTTAAAAGCAATAGTAATTGCATGGTTTTCTGTGTATGGCTAAGAACATACATTTTAAACACTGTTGTCTTTTTTATGACAGTTTTGCCACAAGCAAAAAACCCCACATCATGGGTGTATTGCTAGCATTCAATTCACATTGCAGAGGGAAGAAGAGTTATTTCATTTTTTTCTACATGCAGGTTGAATATTAGGAAAGAAAACTGACAGGTTCAGCATAAAAGTATTTCCTGCCTGTATAGCTTGATAGGATTGTATACATCAAAAAAGATTATAAAACTCCTTCAAATAATGTCTCTGTGAGAAAGGATCACACGAGAAGTACAGCAGAAAAGATCAATAGGAATGCAATGCAACCCTTTTCATGTTCACCAGGGGTGTCACTCATTCATGACAAATGATGCTAAATCCTCTACATTAACCAGAATGAAAGGTTGAAAGATATATTCAGAAAAAAGCATAATTAAATTAGAAACGTTCCAGAATTTGGGATGTGTATTTCAGCATACTAAGTCACTTAGTAGCTTTCTCACTATTCTCTGTGGAAATTATGTAACCAAGCAGAAGGAATACGCTGTTTATTTTCCTACTGGCTCCATAGCTTCTCCCTTTCTCCTCTCATTTGTGATATAAGGGAAGAGGTAATGTCATTTTGAACCTGCATATAGCTCAGAATACTGTAAGTACTATTAATTAATTAGACTTCTCAACATCTGTAAAAATCTGCTATGAGTTAATCTTTCAATGATAACAAGAAAGAACACAAAATTTCAACATCTTTGCTCTAAAAATCACACACAGAAAACCAAAATTCACAAGGAAGAAAAATGCATCTTAGGAGACATTATTCCTACTTTGCATCATTCGAACATGAGAGAGTTCCTCTCATGCAGAGTGCTGGCAAGCAAGCAGGGCACAACAAAATTAATCTCTCCTCACTTCAGCCTAGTCTAAGCTACTCGTCTGCACTCCCTGTGAAAGCAACGTAGAGAACGGTAACAGGAGAAGGAGAGGCATTGAGATCCTGATTTTTTTAGGATGGATTAAATCATTCTCTAGAGATGCCAGTCTCTCTCCACTGACTTTGGAGGTAGTTTAGATGACTGAAGTGAAGTAAGCTGGCTCCCTCGCAAGTGAACAGTGCTCAGAAGTGACCAGGAGCCCAGCAGCCAGGATGTGGCTGGGCACAGGGAGAATAGAGGGCCTGCTAGCTTCTTACATATAACAACACATAGTGTGCCAGGAAATATTAACTCAGTGTCTCCTTATCCTTCCCAGTAAATCCTCCTCCCATAAAGGCCTTTTAATGGGCAGAGGAACTCCTAAACAGAGGAGACACGAAACACTGGGAATGCTGCGTCCCCACCAAGCCTTGCCTTGTGCCTGCCACCTACACCCAGAACCAGCCACCTACCCATGTCAGAGACTGAGCAGGACCACAATCTCAAATCAGCCTCAGATCAGCTTCTTCAGCTTGACAAATGTCTCTGCCTTGAACTGGTGCTCCAGACCTGTAGGTCTGTTTTCACTCCTTATAACCCTGCTGATTTCAATTTTTCAGCCCCACTGAAAAATGTCCAGTCCCATCAGTAGCCAATGTCCTTATCAATCTTATTGAGCAGATGGACCAGTGTGAGAGCACATGTAAGGGCACACAGGGCAGAAGTAAGGTAAACATGTTTGAAAGCATCCTTTTTTGTCCGACTCTACTTCTGAATGCAAAACTAGATGTTTTAAGAATAGCAAAAGATGACTTTTTCTTCAGTAAAGATAATGATGCACATTCAAGGTGAAGAGAAGGCGGCAGGGGAAATCAGGATTATCCCAGTTTGAACTGATATCTTCCTATCTTCCATGCCATAACAATGAATAACACATAACCAGACTGGTGAGGTTCTTGCCTGCACAGGCAGCAATGCAGATAGTGGCTCCAAGTTTACCTTGCGTGTGTGGAACCCCCCAGGTCTGGACTCCACATCAGAGCCTCAGCGAAGTTGGCCATAGCCCCGGGAAACGCACGTTCCCACACCATGTTTGGACATCAGCGCTCTCTGAAGCGCTGGTCTCAGGTGCTCTTCTAGTCTATCACAATGAGAGGAACCCTCTGGCAGTGTCTCCTTGTGACAGAAATGGCATCATTGACATCTCTAATACAGCACCTTTTGGACTACCAGGACTGCATCCATGACACCAGGGCAGGAACTAATAAAGGCAAGAGTAGACATTCCCAGCTTACCCATTAAATGTAAACAAAACTTTTCTGTTCCTTTCATTTTGTTGTGCATTTTAAGGAGTTGCATTGCGGTTGACTAAAAGGACTTTAGACTTCATTGTGGTATGTGTCTTCAGTGTGTTGACATGGGATTAGAAAGCAGTGCCAAAATACCACATTATACCAAGCATTCCTGTTTGAGGACTGCCTTCTAAAACAGAGCTGTATTTCAGCTCAACTCAGATGAACTATCAGCTAAAATCCCTGTAGCACTTTTCCCTTGACCGCATCGCATGGCTCCTCCCCTCACCACGTTACATTGGTCTGTCTTGTTTAATGGTACAAGACTCAGGAAGAGGG